AAATTTTTATAAATCAAATTTAAGATATTAAATCAAACACATAATCAACAAATTAATATTGATTAATAATATGAGAAAAAACCATTCTTTAACGAATGATAATAAACTTCTGGTAACTACTATATTGTACTAATCCTAATAAATAATAGTAATTTTTTAGCGATATAATTTTTTTAATAATTACTTTTTTTTTAATATCAGTCAGTAAAAATGTCAGATCACTTGTCGATCACTAATTAAAATTTGTGTAATATTAATAATCAGACAATAGCCATCTAATGCAATATGATTTCATCTAAAATAACTTGCTAATAAACCTTAAGGAACTTTTGTTCTTCTTGTTTCAGTCTACACATTCTAATATTTTCTCTAATAGTATAACACTTGCATGAAAATTTTATATAAGATCAATTTTCTTTATTTTTTGATCTTAACCTTAAAATACAAATTTATATGTTCATTTAAATCTATTTTAAAATTATAATTATACGTATTTTTTTAATCAGAATCAATTTACTTAGTCAATAAAAGCACTTGGAATAGTATTTTTGCGAAAAATAGCTAATTTTTATTTAAATGATATTGTATTTGTGATAATTACAAAATAAAGAAATTAATTTGCAAAAATGGTATAAAATTTATTTTCTGAAAATAAAAATTTACTTATTCTTATGATAATTCCACTATTTTCGCATCTTTTTTACTGTTCAAATTTCTGACAATTTCTTATGAACAGAAGTAATAGTATCATTTGAAAGATCACTTTTATATATTTCAACGTACAAAGGATTGCTGTTTCATCTTTGGTAATTCTGTGTTTGGTACCTGTTGTCTTTCTTCATTTAGACTATGATTCAGTAGTATATGGTATTTCATTTGAAATTTCTGCCACCATTCTTATTCTCTTTTCAACCCTCTTTTTGTTGTTATAATCTTTTGGTTTTATTCTAACAACTCCTATTGTCCTTCTACCCTGTGGATTTTGATGTTTGATCTCTAAAACCTCTTATCAATATACTGATTTTATTCATTCTAACCCATCTGAATAATAAGAAATCAACTGATTAAGCCCTTCCTGATATATTACTGTAGGTTTATATTCTTGAAAGAGTTTATGAGATAACAGGTCAGCTATTTCAAACACTTCTATAAGATCATTTATGAGTTCTCACATAGATCGGTCCCATTAACCGGTCTAAGACCGCTCTTACCAGGACCGAACCATCACTACATTTATCTCATCTGCTGAAATACTACTGAATAATGAAAGCTCCCCAACTTCCCTATGAAAATCTAAAAAAGAAGATATAGAAAATATCGATATATAATTGTCTTACAGAGGGTTATCAAAAGTTTCCGAACGATTTTTATGCAATATAAAACATTTAATTTTTGAAACTCAATAAAATATCTATATTATAACTTTATTTTATGGGTATTAAAGGCTACATTTTGTACTATTAAACTGATATTTAATTGGCCACCTTCTGCCACAATCACCGCCTGAATTCGTGCTGGCATACCTATCGACTAAATTTTCAATTACACATTTTGGAATCGATTCCATGCATTTTTAACATCCCTTTCAAGATCAGCAAGAGTGGGTAGAACCAGTTTCAGCATGTCTTTTCAATGTGTCATATACTGTTGTTTTGCCTCATCCAAAAGTTTCTGCAATTTTACTATATGAATCACCATTTTTACGACAAAAAATTATCGCACCACGTTGCTCCGCAGTTAATTCGTTATTTTTCCATTTTTGTAGTTGTAGCCGTAAGTTGCAAAAAAAAAGAGTAAAGGGAAATTTGAAGTTAAAATGTTATTTAAAGCAAAATAAACAAATAAACAAACATAAATGTATGTAAACATTACCTTTTATATATATCAATCGCGTTCCAAAAATAGCGTTCGGAAACTTTTGATAACCCTCTGTATATAAGATTAATATTTAGAATGAAAAGCTATTAACGCTTGTAACTTTATTTTAGAGTATTTCTAATGAGTCAAGCTTTTTATCGGTGATATAGATTTATATTTGGGGGGTTTCGTGCACGTACGGTCACTTCGGATCGAAAATTTATTTTCTATGACTTTTTTTTTTTTAAGAACTTGCGCCTACTTTCCTTTACATATGTAGGAAAACGGAAACCGTTAAAGTCCGACGCTATTAAAGAGACAAGATCAATCGGGTGTTACAAGAAAAAATTAGCAGGAATAGGAAACTGACGTGTTGGATGTATGGAAGGAAAATGCAGGGTTAACATAGTAAATTGTCCTTCGCTTCGCTCCGGACAATTAGTCTCCTAAGAAGGCGCGCAGTTAATTCTCTGTGTAATTTTTTCGATCCTTTTACTCATGTCAATGTCCGATCAATAAACTTAGTCTTTCTTACACGCAGTATATTGATAGAATTGATTTAAATTATAATCTGTCAAAGAAAATTATCAACACCTCTCTCTCGCCTGAAATTATAAACAAATTTTTTTTATGATATTTCATCGAGTTCTTACGAAATCGGGATGATTTTCGTCGTTCACATAAAGGTAATTAATGGCATTTTTTTTTCGTTATTTCCCTCCACATTACATTCTTTTGAAAGTTTCGTAGAATTGTAAAAATTTCCCTCAAAAAAATTAAGTTCCGTTACGATTTCAAAGATTGAGTATATTATAAGCTAAATGATTTTCAGAAAACAATTATCATTATTTGTAAGACAAGAAGCTGATATTATCCGAGTATACTAGAATATTTATAGAAATGATTTACAGCTGAGAACCGAGGGCTGAATAAAAGTGAGTATTCCTATTGGTAATTCTATGCAATAAAAGATAATAAAATAAAGCTCATCCGATAAGAAATGGTTTTCAAGAACAATTTAGAAAAAACCCTAAAAGGATTGGAAACGAGAATTAAGGAATTAGAGCAAAGTAACGAGGGGTTATGTTCACAATTCAAACATTTAGAAGAAAAGGTTAGAGAGAGAGAAGAAGAAACCAAAGTCAATATTAATAATTTAGAAGAAAAGATTAAGGTAGAGAAGTAGTATCCAAAACCCAGCAAGAAATTATTAATGAATTAGAAAAGAGAATCGGAAATCTTGAATTGGTGTTTTATGTTGATACTATTGTTAATTTAACAATTTTTGATTCTGATAACATATTGAACGCCTTAGGCGGATTTGAAAGATGTCGAAAATTGGCGAAACTCATTTGTAACTATAATTATTATCTAATAACTAGCTTACCAACATTACCTAACTCCTTAATGGAACTTCATTGCTCTGACACTCTAATTACAAGCATACCAACATTACCAAACTCCTTAACGATACTCTCTTGCCTTAGAAATCGAATAACAAGCTTACCAACGTTACCTAATTCCTTAACGGAATTCAATTTCTATGAAGAACTAATAACAAACTTTCCAACACAACATTACCTAACTCCTTAACCTATCTTGACTGTTCTAACACTCTAATAACAAGCTTACCAACTTTGCCTAACTCCTTAAAAGTACTCCTATGTATTAACACTCGAATTTTCTTACCAACATTACCCAACACGTTAATGGAACTCCATTGCTCTGGAACACTAATAACAAGCTTACCAACTTTGCCTAACTCCTTAACAGCACTCCGGTGTTGTAACACTCAAATAACTAGATTACCAAAATTACCTCACTCCTTAATTTATCTAAACTGCGAAAATACTCCAATAACATGGTTACCAAATTTACCCGTTTCTTTAAAGAAAATCTGCCCCAAATATTAAAAGATGCATACTTATTTATTTTATCTAAAACTCATTTTTCTTTGTTGTCTTAAATGACTTTATTAGTTTTAGCAAATATATATAAATAAAATATATATTTTATTGACAAAATAATATCATCAAGCTGCTTAAGTTAGTATAAAAAATTTATATTCAGTTGTAGTCTGGTGGAAGTATTTGGAATTCCAATTTTATAGCTTTCTTTAGACTTTACCCTAATTTCAACCCTCCCTCAAAATATTAACTTCTTGTTATAATAATTATTGAACAATTAAGCTTTTTTTAGTCACATTAATATAATTAACATTATCGTGCGATGTATATGAACTTAGTTTTTTAATATTTTTTTTGTGATATCACGGAGTTTATACTAATAAATAAACCATACTTTATTAATTTCTAGTAACTTGTTTCTATTTTTAATATAATAAAATAATAAAAGTGTAAATAGTAATTATAAAATAATGTATTAACTGTAAAAGTTTCAGAAATTCCATCGCCTAATTTTAGTTTAGATTTTAGATTTTGTTATCGAATTAAGATTTTTAGGAGCTAAAGATAAAAAACTTTATAATTTTTACCCCAAGCTTGTCTGCGTTTTTCTAAAGGTTAATTAATATAATTAATAAATATCCCAAAAAAACTTTTTCTAGTGAGTAGTTAGATAATTTATTCTTTTTCACTTTTCGCGATATCAATTTAATTATTGCGGTATAGAACACCTACAAATTAATATACTGTGATTTTTGAAATTAGTTTTTTAATCCTTTCGGTTAATTTGAATATCATTTAGTATCTGTAGTGGTTGACAAAAGGGATCTTATTGGTTGTGCTTTCATCTATTTTTTTCAAAAAATAATCGTAGATGCATTATAGTTTTTTTAGCATAAAATTGTTGTTTTTATTGAATAAAGCAAATTCGTCTTCTATAAATATATTATCAAGTTCGTTAAGATTTTCTTTCCAATAGGTTTTCAAAAGTATAATTCGCCTAAAAATAAAGATTTACCTTTTTTCGTGATTCTTAAAAGTGGTACTTCCATTTTTTTTTTTTAAAAGGAAGGATTTAATATAAATGAAGAGAAAGAGAATGATAATGAACTTCATGCGAGTAATGTCATATTACCTTTATTGACATTTGAACGCAGTACATTTATTAATACTATTAATAAATTATTATTCTTTGAGAATATCTAGATAACCGTTGTTAGTCGCAAATTGTACTGCGCCTCAAACGATCTTCAACTGCGCCGAAAGTGATGCAATGATTTTACCAGGAGAATAATCAATGTTTAAGGTATCGACGACGAAATCTTCAAAAGTTGCTTCAACGTACTATACAAAAAAAAGGATTTAATTTACTCAAGTATTATGATATAGTGTCATGGCACATACCTTTAATTTATTAAATTTCGAAGTCTTGATGGTAATATCCTTTGTGTTTTCGTAATTATTAATATCTAAAGTATATTCAGATCGATCTCATTATAATCTGCTACTTTCCTTCCACTTCTAGTAAGACGATTGAAAACAAAATCGTTTTGAATGTTTGATTTTTTTTTAACCTCATACTTTTTGCGCGTTGAGCTCGTGTAGAGGTCATTTTATAATTATTTCTTTCTATTTCTACCTTTATAATTATTGACAAGAGAGACTAAAGAAAATGTCCTTTGCTGATAAAGAATAAAAGTCTTAAATATTTATCTATTAGAGGTTGGAACTGTCTTAAGACGGTTAAAATTAACTTAGGCCAGTACTATAAATTTGGCTGGAGGTAGACAATATATTTTGCAATCATAAAAATCTTAATTCTGGCCGGAAATTTTATTAAAAAATAAAAAAATAAAAAGATTTTTTTTACCGGTTAAAAATTAACCGGTTCAATCTTTATTGTTACAGCTAATTTTCATAAGTCACGGAATAGCCGATAATATCCGAGACTTTTCCGAGAAAATTTATAAGGATTTGAAAAAGCCAACCACATTTTATATGGGTAAAAAAATTATGTCGCTATATTCGGAACACTGATCTGAACGTAGCGATAATGTTTTTTTCTTCAAAAAATTCTATACCGAGTTTTACCGAGTTTTTTTTATCGATCTGCAAAATGATCGTCCGTCCCGTGACTTTTGAAATTGGCCGATCCGCGAACGTAATATTTATTTCGTCGTCATCAGTAATGGGCTTATGATTCTGAACCTGAATTAATTAATATTATATGAACATAAAAGCTTATTCTATTTATTTTTATTTATATATTTTTTTTAGTATATTAGGCCATGCAACTTCGATTTTTCGGTTCACGTCACCCGGCCGGGTCACTTTTTCAAATCCCAACAAAAAAAAGTTTAATCTACTAATAAATATATTTACACTTTATAGTCACATGATAAACTTTTTATATATAAAGCTTTATTGTATTATCGTTATGTATAATTCCTTTCTTACAACTCATTAGTTTCATGCAACTTCCCAAGCGAATACATTGTGCTGAAATGTTTTCTTCAAATAATGTTTTTGATGGGCTAAACTTCACTTAAAAATATGCTTCCCACCAGTCAGGTGATAAATATTGAATCGATATATTTCTAAAAAAATCTTTTTATTTTTCAACACGTAAACCTTCCAAATCCTTCAAAACTTTAGAATTATAACTTATTTTTACATGTATAATAGGTATTATGACGGAGTTAAGATTTTAAAATGAGATGTAATTGTCATATTATTAGGCCGGGTAAAGAAAATTTTTAAATTTTAGATAAAATTTTAAATTTGACACGATCACCCGGGTCACAGAATTTGAAAATTTATTTTGCACGGCCTTGTCCCCTTAAAAATTGACCAATCAGATGAATATAAAAACTTTTTTTTATTAATAAAAAATAATAATTAATAAACTCCGGGTCTCCGGGTCGATTTTTAAATTTCAATGTTAAGTGAACCGAAAGATCGAAGTTGCATGGCCTTAAAAAACGAGATATTCTAAAATAATAATAATAAAAAAATAATACAAAAAGAATTCTTCATTATATTATCAAAACCGTGATTAAAAATAAAAATTTCACCAAAAAAAATTTGTCACGTGCTCAACTAACCTTTTCAATAAACGCTCTTATTAATGACCTTTCCTTTTATTTTAAAGTTGTCAAGACGTTATACAGTTTCATTTCGTCTTCTGTCATCATTATTTTTGTTTATATCAGATTCGATAAGAGAGTCAATGAGCTAAGCGATGACGGCCATCGATAAATTTCCCTCGCATACTATTATAATGATGAAAAGCCTTTAAGGATATCGATAAATGGACCAAATTCCGAATACTTTGGCATTTTTATATTTATAAGTTACTTTTTTGATTTTTATAATTTAGAATATTAAAGGACATATATACGAGAAGGAATTCAAATTCGAATTTATATTGTCAAAATCCTTCGCTATTTAAAATTTGCCACGTTCTTCATATAGAATTCGACCATTATAATAAAGGAGGTAGTTTAAATCCTTAAAAATATGTTATTATAATTTGGAATTTATTTTTCTTTAGAAAACTGTAATAGTCTGGGATATAAAAAAATGAAAGTACATTCTTTCTTTGCATAGTTGACAATGCAAAACTCCTA